TCTGGGTGGGGTGGAACGGGGTGTGTGGTGGGCAGGGTCTGGGGATGGGGGCCGGGAGGCCTGGGTGGGGCCTGGGCGGGTTTCCTCGCCAGCACCCCTTGCAAGAAGAAAACAGGACGGTGCCCCGGGAGCAGTCCCTGAGCGCCGACCTGCCGCGTCGCAGTGACCCTGCCGTGCCGGCGCCAGGACCGGTCACCCAGCGCGGCCTGCAGCTCCTCGCCAGCGGCCAAGGACACCCTTGAGAAAAAGTTCGGTCCCCTGTCCCCGTCTCCGAGTCCCTGGGAGACACCGCCGTCCTGCGCCACCGCCCACCTCGGCAGCCCCTGCCGTCACCCCGCGAGTCTGCCGGGACTCCCGGAAGCCGCTGTGCGCGGCCCAGCGTGCCCCGAGGCTCTGGGTTCCCTGCCCTGGGCGGAGGCAGCCAGCTACAGCATCGGGGGTTTGAGGAGTGCGCGCACCACTTACAAACACGCCCTCCATCCACTTCCTGCCTGTGTCTCTCCTGCCCCCGCGCCCCGCCACGATTCTGTCACGTGCCTCCACTTCCGGCTGCACACCTCTCGGCGGGTCTCACCGGGGCCTCTAGGCCGGCCTCCGGTCCCCAGGTCCCGCCGGGGTCCCCCAGGGCCGTCCGCAGCCAAGCCCCTTCCTTCCCGCCTGTAGCCCGCGCCCAGGGAGCCCCAGCGTCGCCGCATGCCTTCCCCACCCACCCAAGGTCGCGGCGAGGGTCCCGGCCCCGGGGCCTCTGCCGGCCATTTCCCCAGGCCGATTTTCTGGAGTTTTCCGAGTCAGACCAGCGCTGGGGGCTGACCCCCGCGTGGCCTTGTCATGATTAGGTTCAGGTTAAACATTTCTGGTCGCGAGTCACACGGATGTCAGCGGCCCCGCGCCCAGCCTTGCGGACTTGGTCACTCATTTGGTTAAGGGGGTGTTTGAGCCACATCTTTATTGCAAAGTACTTTTCTACACCTGGGGAAGATCTGCTCCATGAACGGTTTTAAGAAACTATGCTGTCATCATACACAACTTTGTATCCTGGTTTTTTACTTAGCAGATTGAATTGTGAATGTCTTCTCATACAATTAAACAGCTCCAACAGCTGATTTGGGCGCTCCCTAAATTGCAGCCTGCGGGGGTACTGTACTTAATGAGCATGACTCCGGGCTTACAGATGGACGCTTGGCCACCGCACGTTTACCTGGGCTCGCTTGCTGATGTATTTTCAGCTGAGAACAATGTCTGGCAAGTAGCAGGAGCTCAGTGAAAAGTTTTGAAAGGTCGAACTCAGCTTGAATCCAGTTGTCCAATATTACAGGAATTGCCTGTGTGCAACATCCTGGCGCACAAACCTTCGCATTGATTTTAGGAGGCTCAAACATTTATGAGAAGGGAAACATTTCTGTTGATGGAGTGAAAAATAAGGCTGCAAAGTCACACGTGTGCTCAGATATGTGGAGAACCATCTGAGAGAAAATAGACCAAAAAATCAACAGGGATTAACGCTGAACATTTGGATGGTGAAAGGTTTCGATTTATTATGAAAGTTCCTCTAGGAGCACCTGAGTGGCTCAATTGGTTAAGTGTCTGACTTGGGCTCAGGTCATGATCTCACGCTCTGTGAGTTTGAGCCCCGCGTCAGGCTCTGTGCTGACAGCTCAGAGCCTGGAGCCTGCTTCGGATTCTGTCTCCCTCTCTCTCTGCCCCTCCCCCGTTTGTGCTCTGTCTCTCTCTCAAAAATAAATAAACATTAAAAAAAAAGTTCCTCTGTATTTTCTACAATCAGAATAAAATACTCGTATGCAAAGAAGTGGTAGGTTTTTTCTTTTCAAAGTCAGTTTTGCAAGTCAAGAACAGGTGAAGCTATGTGTGTTTAGCAGCCATTCATAAAGACCGAGGGCCCAAGTTAAAAAGCAAATGTAGCTTTAGGCCACACTTAGAGTATTGTGTCCCCCACTTGGTGTCACATTTAAAAAGGGCACTGCGGGGCGCCTGGGTGGTGCAGTCGGTTAAGCGTCAGACTTCAGCCAGGTCACGATCTCGTGGTCCGTGAGTTCGAGCCCCGCGTCAGGCTCTGGGCTGATGGCTCAGAGCGTGGAGCCTGTTTCCGATTCTGTGTCTCCCTCTCTCTCTGCCCCTCCCCCGTTCATGCTCTGTCTCTCTCTGTCCCAAAAATAAATAAACGTTTGAAAAAAAAATTTTTTTTAAAAAGGGCACTGCCCAGCGGAGGGAGTGGAGGGAGGGAGTGGCCTGGAGGGAGTGGCCTGTTGTATTGGCTCTGAAACACTTAAGGGATCAGTTACATGTGTCCTCCAGACCAAGATTCAGGGGCAATGAGAAGTTTCTTCTAATCCCTGAAGAGCTGTCACATACCAAAGTGAGGACTGTCATTTTATGCAGTCACAGAAGAAAAGTTTGGGGAGGGCATATTTTTCCCAGCAAATAAGGAAGACTCTTTTAACAGTTCATATGGTCAGAGATGAAAACACGATGTAGAAGGGAGTGGCCACCAAATGGCATCTCCCAGGATGAGGGGGGCAGCTGTTGCCCTGGGGAGATGACAGAGATGCCAGTCTTAGGCCCAGAGGCCTGGTACAGCCCTTCTGGCCTCCTCCAGACACCTGCCTGCAGCTCCCCCAAACCCATGGCCTCCTGGAGGCAGAAGAGGGGCAGGTCCCTTGGCGCCTGCCTCCCCCTTCATGTGGGCCAACTCTCCATAGAATCTTCCCCCATTCTATCGCACTCCCCATCCCCTGCTCTGTCCTTATTTTTCTTCCTAACCCTCTCCCTGAAGGACACATTGTTACTTGGTGAGTCACCTGCTTCTTTTTGTCCCCTCTACTGGGGCTGGAGAGTCCTTGCTGTCATGGTCACTGTCGACAGACCAGTGTTCAGAGCCCAGATGAGTGCCTGGCACAAAACAGATCCACCATTTGACAAATGGTTCTCTGAAGAAACAGAGCACCAGGGTGCCTGGGCAGCTCAGGTGGTCAGGCATCTTACTCTTGATTTGGGCTCAGGTCATGACTTCATGTTCTTGAGATCGAGCCCCACACCCAGCTCTGTGCTGACAGCACGGAGTCCACGTGGGGTTCTTCTCTGTCCCTCTCTCTTTGCCCCTCATCTGCTGGCCCACACTCTCTCTCTCTCTGTCTCTCTCAAAACAAATAAACATTTAAAAGAAGAAGAAGAAAGGGGTGCCTGGATGGCTCAGTCAGTTGAGCGTCTGACTTCGGCTCGGATCATGATCTCATGGCTCGTGGGTTCGAACCCCACACCAGGGGGGAGCCTGCTTTTGGTTCTGTGTCTCCCTCTCTCTCTGCCCCTCTCCCACTCGCACTCTGTCTTTCTTTCAAAAATGAATAAACGTTAACAAAAAAAATTGTTTTTAAATAAATAGAAGAAGAAAAACAGCACAGGGTTCAGACAGTCTAGAGGGAAGAACGTTAAAAGCCATGGCACATCCACCAAAGGATGAATAAACAAATTGCCAAACATCCATACAATGAAATATTATCAGTCTTAAAGAGGAAGGAAATTCTGGGGCACCCGACTGGATAAGTTAGTTAAGCATCTGACTGTTGGTTTTGGCTCAGGTCATGATCTCACGGTTTGTGAGTTCGAGTCCCACCCATGACAGGCTATGGCTGGGAGTGCGGAGCCTGCTTGAGACTCTCTCTCTCCCTCCTTTTCTGCCCCTCTCTGCTTGTGCTCCTCTCTCTCTCAAAATAAATTAAAACTTTAAAATAAAGAACTGCCCAGTGCATAGTAATTGTTCAAAAATACTTTTTAAAATAGCTAAGATGAGGGGCACCTGGGTGGCTCAGTCGGTTGAGTGTTCGGCTTTGGCTCAGGTCATGATCTCGCGGTGCGGCAGTTCGAGCCCCGCGTCGGGCTCTGTGCTGACAGCTCGGAGCGTGGAGCCTGCTTCGGATTCCGTGTCTCCCTCTCTCTCTGGCCCTCCCCCGATAAAAAAAGATTAATTATGAGTACTCAGGAGAACGAGGTGTCCCTAAAGCAAGGATAGGAAAAAGCGGACAACTGAAAG